GGTGTGTTAATACCTCTTTTAGACATTCAGATTGAGAATTCTTCTTGTTATTTCTTGGAGAGAGAGTTCTGGAAAAGCTTTTTGAAGGGTTTAGAGAGATTTTTACACTAAGATAAGCTTAGTAGAAAAGTTGTAGAATTGTTTTCTGGCTATATTCTCAAAATTTTAGCTCAATTGGATGAAAATTGATTGACTTGTCTTAGTAATAACTAGTATTTTTCCAAATAAACCTATCCTTAGGTTTTTTTTTATACTTGCAAAGTTTGAGAAAGTATCTTATAGTCACCACCAATTTGTTACATTGGTTTGATTTCTTTAACAAGACTAACTAACTAGAAAGACTAATAACAGTGAATACTTCGTATAATGTCCTTGTTACTGTATTTTGTCAAAGTCTTTAGAGTGTTTTTACAAAACTTAACAAAGAAGATTTAGCGTAATTTGCAATGATTTTTTTTTTTTTTTTACTTTATACAAATGCTATCAGCTTAACTTTTATTAATTTCGTAAATTTCATAAGTGATATATATTGTGAGAGTACAACTAGCTACACGTACAATTTTAGGTTGTCTATTTTAAGTAGTCCGCTCGAAGGTTCCACACTAGCTGCTATACCTGAAATCTTTTAGAAAATTCCCTATTTAAACTCTCTAGCCCTATCTCACTTACCAAAAGTACTACTCTTTAAGTTAAACTCATAACCCTATGCTACTCCACTTTGGGAGGCACCCAAGCTGACATTAGTCGCAAACTTTACTGTTATAGGCCTAGGTCTTATCTGAATAAGTCCCACTACAATGCCCCCTAACAGATAGGTATCACGATACCCAACTATGCTATACTATATCCCAATCTAGCTTACATATACCCTTATTCGATGTTCGTATGAACTCAGTTTCTTCCATGTCCATTTACCAAATCAGACTTTTTTGTATTTCTGAATGTTTTGTGAAGCAGATCTTCTCAATCTAGTTAGCCACCAAGCCAACTTGGTATTGCTGTAATATCCAGTGTCACAGACTTACTCGCACCTACTCGATCTACATCTTCATACTCAGAGATCTTTACCAGATCAGGTGTTAACTAGTGTGACTGTCAAAATCCATACTACTTCACCTAACTCGGGATTTCTACCATGCAGGTCCTCTGCCTGTAGATCCTATCTCGATTTATTCGTATAATGCAACTTCAACATTCCGTCATACTTCTAATGTCCGAACAATATTAGTGCAACGTGATTTACAGGGTTACAACTCCCAGAAACGGACAAAGTTTACTGTAAGTTAGATACAGATGTTTAGGTAATTATTCAATTCTGTTGATAGTGGGATTTGAACTCTAGACCTCTTGCATGGTGGTCTGACAATCTAACCACTTCATTAGATCGCCAGACCTTTAATTTGCAATTATGAAAGAGGTAACAATTAAAGATATATGAAGATATCAATAAATATTTATTTTAAAGTATCAGAAAGGTACTTTTATTGTAAAAGAGTATGAAGACTCGATAATGAAATCAAGATCCATATGTGCTGCTTTTATACTTTACAAAATATTAGAAACGTAACAGGTTATATATATTACAGAAGCTATATGGAGTGTCATAAGTTAAAAGGGCCTATTTTTGCATATAAACAATTTCGAGTAAATCAGGTTTCAAAAACGCTGATCAACATATGATCAGCCAAAAATATGATTTAAAAATAGAATTCTATAGTTCTAAGAAATTTCAGAATGTCCAGAATATTTGAATAATTGACCAATTATATTTAAGTTGGATTTATAATAAATTAATTTTCTTGATCATTTAAAATAATTTTCTTCTTCACTTCATAGTGATTTTTGTCATCGGTTTACGTAGTTTTCTTTGTTTAACATTAGTTTATTTATTTAATAGTGGGTTTTATAAGTCTAATGATAGATTTTCATTTCTTAGTATCTTTTGAGGTCCCCATCGATTTTTGGAATTATTTTGAGCTCTTTTGATTCTCTCAGGTTTTTGATTGCTTAAACTAGTATAAGGATAAGTACTAATCCAAGTTACTATTTCTTCTTGTTTTTGGTTTCTTTTCTCTTACTACTATTCTTTCACTTTTAGGTTTGCTCTTTGGGACATAAAATGGCATGTTATAGAATATGTAATAGTGTCAGTAGTTCTTTGCGGACTCTTGTGATTCTCCTGGAGAATCAAAAGAGTTCACAAAGAACTACCTGTGATTCTTAGACTCTTGATTCTCCTAGTAGTGGACTCTTTCAATTATTTTGGTGGTAGACTTTTTCGATTATGGTAGTTCTGAACTTTTTTGATTCTCCTAGGTTTTGGTGATTACTTGAACTAGTATAAAGATAAGTACTAGTCTAAATTATCTTGTTTCTTTTCTACTGCTAATATTTTTTTCCTCTTTTAGGTTTGCTCTTTACTTCAAGACGTGAAATAGTATATGACTTAGAACATGTAATGGCACTGGTAGTTCTTTGTGGACTCTTTTGATTCCTAGAAGAATCAAAGAGTTCACAAAGAACCACTAGTAATTCTTAGACTCTTAATTCTCTCAGTGTTAGACTCTTTTGATTCTCCTGATAGACTCTTTTGATTCTCCTAGTGGTGAACTTTTTCAATTCTCCTGGTGGTTCTGAATTCTTTTGATTCTTCTGAATTTTAGTGATTATTTGAACTGGTATAAAGATGAGTACCAGTTCAAATTATCTTGTTTCTTTTCTATTGCTAATATTTTTATCCTCTTTTAGGTTTGCTCTTTACTTTGGGACATGAAATGGCATGTGACTTAGAACATATAATGCCTAAGTAGTTCTTTGTAGACTCTTTTGATTTTTTAGGAGAATCAAAAGAGTCCACTGGTGATTCTTAGACTCTTGATTCTCTTGATAGTGGATTCTTTTAATTCTCCTAGTGGTAGACTTTTTCGATTATTCTGGTAGTTCTGAACTCTTTTGATTCTCCTAGAGTTTGGTGATTACTTGAACTGGTATAAAGATAAGTATTAGTTCAATATTTTATTTCTTTTTTGTTTCTTTTCTATTGCTAATATTTTTTTTCTCTTTTAGATTTGTTCTTTACTTTGGAATATGAAATAGCGCAATTTAGAATATGTAATGGCCCTGGTGGTTTTCTGTGGACTCTTTTGATTCTCTTGGAGAATCAAAAGAGTCCACAAAGAACCACTGGTAATTCTTGAACTTTTGATTCTCTCAGTGGTGAACTCTTTCAATTCTCCCAGTGGTGGACTTTTTCGATTCTCTCAGTAGTTCTAGATTTTTTTGATTCTTCCGAATTTTGGTGATTATTTGAACTAGTATAAAGATGAGTACTAGTTCAAATTATCTTGTTTCTTTTCTATTGCTAATATTTTTTTCCTCTTTTAGATTTGCTCTTTACTTCAGGACGTGAAATAGCATGTGACTTAGAATATGTAATAGCTTAGTAGTTCTTTGTGGACTCTTTTGATTCTTCAGGAGAATCAAAAGAGTTCACTGGTGATTCTTAGACTCTTGATTCTCTTGATAGTAGATTCTTTTGATTCTTCTAATGGTGGACTTTTTCGATTATCCTAGTGGTTCTGGACTCTTTTAATTCTCTCAGGATTTGGTGATTACTTGAACTGGTATAAAGATAAGTATCAGTCCAATATTTTATTTCTTTTTTGTTTCTTTTCTATTGCTAACATTTTTTTTCTCTTTTAGGTTTGCTCTTTACTTCGGGATGTGAAATAGCACGATTTAGAACATGTAATGGCCCTGGTGATTCTTTGTGGACTCTTTTGATTCTCCTGGAGAATCAAAAGAGTCCACAAAGAACTACCAGTAATTCTTAGACTCTTGATTCTCCCAGTGGTGGACTTTTTTAATTCTCTTAGTAGATATTTGTAAACTTTTTCGATTCTTTCAGTGGATTTTTGCGGACTCTTTCGATTCTCCTGGTTATGAACTTTTTTGATTCTCTCAGTGATTTTTTCTGGACACTTTCGATTCTCCTTGTGATTTCTCCAAGTGTTTTTATAATATTTATTATAGATGAACAAGCTAAAGGTTCTTTAGTTGTTAAATTTATCGTTTCAATAATTTTATCTGATTTATGTTCGTTCTGGTTTTCTTTTCGATCTATATTTTGTAATAATTTTTATACGTAAAAACTTTTATAATATATAAATTTTTATTTTGATTTCATTTATTAATAAAATCTTGGTTGTTTGGAATTTATAAAAACAGCTATAAAATTGAATTTACTGAATTTGCATTGCTTGCTCTTGTATGTACGAATTTACATCAATAATACTTTTTTTTTTTTTTTACCTTATTATGCATCCTGAAGGTCCTTCGATGAATTAACATATTTCGTTGCTACATACGTCACCTGTGGTGTTCCCCAGCTTCTTCGTGCCATGTAGTATCAAGTCTATTACCTTTGTGACATCCCGAGTCCCTGGTCCCATGGTGTAGAACCCTGATCTCAGGGTCTGCGGTTTTTTATTGTCATGGCCTCATAGTTTTTTTTCTATTGTTGCTAAAAATAGGAGTTTTACCCAAAATATCTTGAATCAACCCAGAATTTATCAGAGCTATCCTATTTGGGAAGTTTTAATTGATTTACCCCAGTTCTCTGATTATCATGTCTTTATTTGTATAGATTATATATATTTATTAGTTTCTTGATATAATAATTGATCTACAATTATTGTTCTGATATAGTTGTTATCTTCTCTAACTGGCAACCTTTATGATTGATAATTCATAAGCACAATTACTATACAGATCCTATTGTTTTTTTTTAAATTTGACTTTATAAAATTTTTGAACAATGATTATTTAGCTAAATTTAATAATAATATAAATTTTATTTATTGTTTAAAAAAATTTTATTTATTGTAATAAATCTGTATATAGATTTATTACAATAGACATAATCTGTATTGTATTTAAAATATATATAAAATAAATTTAATTTTTATTAAAAAGTTTTTTTAAATTTTATTTTTTAAAAAATGTCTAGCTTTTCTTTAAACAAAAGTATTTTTGAAGAAACTCATACAGAAAATACTCAATTGCAAACAGATCTTTCAAATTTGCAATTTCAATTTTTAGTTCTTGAAAATAATAATTTATCTTCATCTGAAAATTTAGAAAATTTAGAATCTATAGAAAATCCTCTTTTAGATAATGAGATTTGGACTGAACTTGAGCTTTCTAAGTTTAAAACATTATATTACAAAACAATAGATTTATTTGAAAAACAAGATAATGATAATCAAGAATTAGAAGATGAAATAAATTTATTGCAAAATAATGAATTTAAAGAATCTTTTAACAAAAGTTGTTGTGAAAAAAATTGTTTACAAACTCAATGTGAATATTCTGTTGCATTATCTCGACATTTAAATTTTAAGAATCTTTCTAAATCTTATCAAGATATATATTTATTAGGTATTATATCTGCTACTAAACGACCTGAAATAGTTCAAAATTCTAAAAAATCTAAACTTTCTACTGAGTATATTTTTGAAGGAAAGTCAATTTGTTTAAATGCTTTTAGAATAATTTATGGACTTGGAGAAAAAAGATGGAAAAATTTAAGAGATCATTTTGTAGAAAATGATATAAATTTACGTAAAAATTCAAAAACTAATAAAATAAGTAATAATGCACTATCATTTGAAATTATAAGGAAGGTAATTACTTTTATAGGAAATTTTGCAAAGCAAAATGGTTTACCATCACCAAGTAAGTTTTTAATTAAATATTTTTATTTTTAATTTTTATTAATTTAAATTTTTAATAGGACGAAATTTTCGTGATAATACCTGTGCAATAATATATTTACCAGCAGATGTTACTTATTCATCTTTATATATACAATATATTAATGCAATAAAAAATAATGATCAATTTGGAGTTAGCTTATCAACATTTAATACAATTTGGAAAAAATTTTTACCATATATTAAAAAATTAACTCTACGTAGTGATTTGTGTTTAAAATGTAAAGATATGAGATTTAATGCAAATTATTGGTCAGTAGAAGAAAAAGAAGCAAAAGTATTAGAATGGCATCAACATATTAAATGGGCACATAAAGAACGTGAAAATTACAAGTAAATAATTTTAATTTTTAATTTTTTAAATATTAAATTTTTAATTTTTTATTATATTTAAAATTTTTAGACAACAAATTAATATAGCTTATAAAGATATTCAAAATATTGGAATTAATAATTTAGTGCGTTCTAGAAAACCTAATTCATTAGATATTACAGTTCATTTATCTTGGGATTATGCATAACAAATTCAACTACCATATTCATCTCAACAAGAAGTAAGTTATTTTTATTATAAATTAATAATAAATTATTTATTAAATTATATTTTTATTAGGGTGAAGTTTATTTTAAATCTTTATATAAAGTTCATTTATTTGGAATATGTGATGATGCATTTCCACGTCAAGTAAAATATTATAATTTATTATTAAATTATTAATTATATTTATAAAAAATATTTATATTAATATATTTTATAAAATAATATTTTTAGGTAAACTATCTTATTAAAGAAAATGAATTAGTTGGTAAAGGTGCAGATACAGTTATTTCTTTAGTTCATAATTATTTTGAATTACATGGTTTAGGAGAAAAAAATTTAGTAATTCATGCAGATAATTGTTCAGGACAAAATAAGAATAATGCTATGATAGCATATTTAGCTTGGAGAGTTTTAACTGGATTACATAATAGTATAACCTATTGTTTTATGGTTGCAGAACATACTAAATTTAGTTCAGATGGATTTTTTGGACTTATAAAATTACTTTTAAGAAAATCTGAAGTAGATAATCTTGATGATTTAGTTAAAGTAGTTCAAAATTCAACTCCTGGTAGATATAATATTGCACAAACAGTATTTGATGATAAAAAAAATCAAATTGTACATTTTTATGAATGGACAAATTGGCTAAAACAACAATTTACAACAATACCAAATATTTTAAAACAACATTATTTTGAATTTAATAAGTTAAATCAAGGAAATATTAAAATTAGTACATCATCTTATGGAGAAAAAACATTAATACAAATAGAAAAAACTAAGCAAAATAATAATTTAAATCAATTAGTTGAAAAAAAATTACCTGGTCTTAGTGCAGAACGACAATGGTATTTATATGAACAAATAAGAAATCATATACAAAATCCAAGTAAAAAGGATGATTTGTGTCCAATGCCTACTATTACTAAACCAAAATCTAAATAAAATAAATTTTATAATAAATATTAATAATCTTTAAATTTTTAAAATTATATTAATTTAATTAATAAATAATAATAATAATAAATTTTTTTAGCTTACTGTATAGCACTGTATATAATACCTCTCTAGTAAAGTATCCTTTTAAATAGTATTGAAATACTATTTAATTGTAAATTTTAACATTTTTGAAAAGTATCTCAGTACTAATTAATCTTCAAAAAACTCATTTTTACTATTTTTAACTTTATGTAATTAGCTTACATAATCAAAACTTTCATAGTATTCTTCTCATATAGTATCTATTTCTTTACATAGTATCCTAGAATACTATTTAATTAATACTAGTATTTTTTAAAAAAGACTAGAGATACTATATACAGCACTATACAGTATATGTAATATATTATACAGATATTAATTTGCAAATCTAATAAATATATAAATTAAAATAATTTATATAAAACAAAATTAAATACTATTTAAAATTAAAGTAAAAGTAAACTTAAAATAATAGTAAAAACAATTTATTTCAAAATTTCACAAAAAAATTTTTTTATTAATATCCAAAAAATAGTTTCATTTTAAATTATAAATAATTTTTTTAAAAAAACAATAATTTTATATTATATCTAATTAGCTTTCTTATTATCTGTATATATACATTTAGTATACAAATAGAAATTATCTAATAATAAATACTAATATATTAATTTAAAAAAAAAATCTAAAAAAAAATATAAAAGTAAAAAATACTAATAAAATTGACAAAATTACTAAAATCTTTAAAAAAACTAAAAGAATAAAAAAATCTACAGATAATATCAAAAGTATACAAAAAACTACTGGAAAAATCAAAAAAAAATTTACAAACTATTAGAAGTATTAAGAGTTTAAAAAAATCATTAGAAGAATCAAAAAAGTCTAAAAAGAATCACCAACTAAAATCCAGGAGGATCAAAAGAGTCCAGAACCAAAAAAATCCATCACTGGGATAATCAAAAGAGTCCATCACTAGAAGAATTGAAAGAGCTCTAAGAATTACTGGTAGTTCTTTGTGGACTCTTTTGATTCTCTAAGAGAATTAAAAGAGTCCACAAAGAACTATCAGTGCTATTACATAATCTAAATCGCATGCTATTTTATGTCTCAAAGTAAAGAGCAAACCTAAAAGAGAAAAAAAACGTTAGTAATAGAAAAGAAGCAAAAAAGAAATAGAAAACTTAAACTGGTACTTATCTTTATACCAGTTTAAGTAATCACCAAAATCTGGGAGGATCAAAAGAGTTCAAAACCAAAAAAGTCCATCACTGGGATAATCGAACTATCACTAGAAGAATCAAAAGAGCTCTAAGAATCACTAGTGGTTCTTTATAGACTCTTTTGATTCTCTAGGAGAATTAAAAAAGTCTATAAAGAACCACTAGTGCTATTATATAATCTAAATCGTATGCCATTTTATGTTCTGAAGTAAAGAGCAAACCTAAAAGAGGAAAAAAATGTTAGCAATAGAAAAGAAACAAGATAATTTGAACTGGTACTCATCTTTATACCAGTTCAAATAATCACCAAAATTTGGGAGAATCAAAAGAATCTAGAACTACCAGGAGAATCGAAAAAGTCCACTACTAGGAGAATCGAAAGAGTCTACCACTGGAAGAATCAAGAGTCTAAGAATTACTAGTAGTTCTTTATAGACTCTTTTAATTCTCTGGGAGAATCAAAAGAGTCCACAAAGAACTACTAGAGCTATTACATATTCTAAATTGTGCTATTTCACATCCTGAAGTAAAGAGCAAACCTAGAAGAGAAAAAAAATGTTAGTAATAGAAAAGAAACAAAAAAGAAATAAAATATTAGACTAATACTTATCTTTATATCAGTTCAAGTAATCACCAAACCCTGAGAGAATCAAAAGAGTCCAAAACTACCAGGATAATCGAAAAAGTCTACTACTAGAAGAATTAAAAGAATCCACTATTAAGAGAATCAGGAGTCTAAGAATCACCAGTAGACTCTTTTGATTCTCCTAGAGAATCAAAAGAGTCCACAAAGAACTACTAAGCTATTACATGTTCTAAGTCGCATGCTATTTCATATCCTGAAGTAAAGAGCAAACCTAAAAGAGGAAAAAAATGTTAGCAATAGAAAAGAAATAAGATAATTTGAACTGGTACTCATCTTTATACTAGTTCAAGTAATTACTAAAATTCAGGAGAATCAAAAAAATCTAGAACTCCAGAAGAAGTTTTAGGAAATCTTAGTTCATTTATCTCTAACGAATATACTAGTAGTCTTAACTACTTTAAATATAGTCCTATAGTTAGTCAATACTTAATAGACTCAGACCAAACTACAACTTCTTCATCTACTTTAACTTCTTATAATGAAGATACTACTCAAATCCAATTTCTCCTATAAGATAGATAACAAACTCCAACTCCACTCCTAACTGATATCCTTCTTGGATCACCTATCTATATATCCTTTTCTCAATTCCTCTCTACTTACCCTACAAATACTTCTAACTAATGATATTTTAATCTTAATATTAATTCTCGAACAGCAATAACTAACTTTATTCATCAGTTTACTCCTACTACTAC